AGGAAGATGGTATATTCATAACAATATTTATATTCTTATAATTATTTAAAAATATGTAACTTTTTAATTTTACTTATTTTATAATTAACAATCATATTCAACTGTTGTTTGAGAATTCAAACCATAATAAATAAGGAATGAGTAAAATTAGAAATAATAATTAATTATTCTAACTTTGACTTAAAAATAGTTGATTAAAATCTTGATTTTCTAACAATGTTCACATCTTTTAAATTGTAAATTTTTTTTAGTTCCTAAACCAGCATAGTAAAAAATCTAGAGGTACTACTACTCTAGTTCTTTAAGCTCAAGAATACTTTTAGGTTGCGTTTGAATAAGTAGATTAAAATTGAGAATTTGGATTTAAAATCTCATGTTTGAAATCTCACATTTAAAATTCATATATTCTAAATTATTTGTTTGAATGACATAAAAAATTTTAAATTATAATATTAAAATTCTTTGTTTAGATCTAAAGTAAAATTTTATATTTTATATTTTATATTTGAATTTAAAAGAAACTTAGATGACTGGTCAAAATTGATAGTCTGAATGGCCAACTTTCACTAGAATCAAACAGCCAAAGCCAACTGGGACTGTAGCACTGGTGATGAGAAACAGCCAACTTTTGTCAAGATCTGAGTTATAGGATGATAGGGACAGATGATTGACTTCCATCAAGACTAGACCAACAACGACCGGACTGCTGACTTCTACCAGGATTAGACTGATGATGATGATAGGACTGGACGACCAACTTGCACCAAGGCTTGATCAACAGTGATGATGGGGACCAGACCAAACTGATGGCGACTATTGAGACCAAACGAGTGACTTCCACTGAGACTTAATTGACTTCAATGATCTGGATAGGACAACTGACTTTTACTAGGACCAAATTGACGATGATAGTGATGAAGGGGATCGAACGGTCAACTTTTATCGGGGCCGAACTAACGGCAATAACTAGGACGAGATGGTTGACTTTGACCAAGACTAGACCGATTTAATGGTCAACTTCTTCCTGGACCAACGGCATTGGTGGGGACCGGACAGTCGACTTCTATCAGGACGTGACCAACTGCGACGATGGGGATAGGACGGTCGACTTCCACTTGGATTGGACCAACTGTGACGATTAGGACGGGACAACCAGCTTTCACCTAGACTTGACCAACTGCGACCATTGGGACGGGACAACTAACTTCCACTAGGACCAAATTGACGACGACGATGAGGATGGGACAACCGACTTCTATCGAGACCAGACTGACGGCAACCATTGAGATAAGATGGATGATTTTCACTAGAACCAGACCGATGGTGATGGGGACCAAATGGATGACTTCTACCAGGATCAGACGGCTAACTTCAATTGAGACTGGACCCGGTGGAAGTTAGTCGTCCGATCCTTATAGTAGCTATCATTTCAATTTTGATAGAAGTTAGCTGTTCGGTCCTAGTCGGTCGTTCTGTCCCTACCATTATCGTGGCTGTCGATCTAGTCCAGGTGGAAGTTAGCCATCCCGTCCTAATCTTCGCTGTCATTATCAGTCCGATCCTAGTTGAAGTCAACTGTCTGATCCCCGTCGTTATCGTCAATCTGGTCTTAGTAGAAGTCAACCATCCAATCTAGGTCATTATCGTCGGTCCAATCCCTGTTGTCACCATTGTAGTTGATAATCGCCATTGCCGTCAGTCCTATCCCAGCGAAAGTTGGCCATCCATTATTGTCTCCATATTCATCAGTATGATCCTAGTGGAAGTTGGCTGTCCCGTCCAAGTAGTCGCCATTGGTCCAATCACAGTGGAAGTCGACCTTCCGGTCTCAATCAACGGTGGCAGCTTGTTTGTGTTAATTTTAACTATTCGATCCAATTATCATTGGCAAACTGATAAGGCCTTCATGGTATTGGTTCAAATTATAGAAGAGATTTAGTTAGATTTGAAATAATAAGAGTTTAGAAAGAATTTCAAATTATAAAAAGATGAAGGTGAAACTTAGATTTAACATTTTTAATTACCTAAATAATGGATTTGGCTCAAATTTAAATCCATATATATATATATCCATATATATTTATTTAATGCGACTTCATATCTCAAGGCTTAAACTTGAGATTTTAGGACAAGTTAATTCAACTCTTTCAACTAATTGAACCAAGCACCCCACAATTCAAATTGTATCCTTGAATGAAATAATTATAATATTTGACGTAGTTAAACTAATGTTTATTTTCACTAGATAAATTTATTTCATTAATTATAGAGATAATTTAGTTTAAATTTTTTAAGAGAAAATAACAATAAAATCTTCCTAATTATATAAATGACAACTTGGTCTATTGAAATGTCATAATTTCATCAAAATCCTTAGAGACTTTTATGTAAATAAATTTTAAATTGAAACAACCGTTTTACCCTTATTAACATGTTGTCCATTTCTTGTTTAATTCTTTTATTAATAAAATTGTTATTCTTTAAACAAAGTTGTGATTATGGGTTATTATTTTTTTGAATACAAGGAAACGGATAAAGCCGTGAGAGGATTATAAAAGTTAGGTCAAATCAGAGTCCAGAATGGACCTGTAAGCTATAGGTGATTTATTATAAATAATGAGATCATAACTTCCATGAGAGCTTTCACGTGTGAGTAGATTAGCACATTTGTTTATTTCTTTAAAGTTATGATCAAGAGTGACTGACCAGTCTTTCATAACAAGTTTCCTAATTTTCTTGATGTTTGACGTTAAAGGATGACTATCAGAGAAGTTTTGTTGGATAAGAGAAGGGGCTTCTATAAAATCAATGTGTAAGTTGATCTTAGTAAGTTTAGCATTCTAACAAAGCTAGAGACCTTTTAAAATACCTAACAATTCAATCACAGTACTAGGTTGGTAGTCAAAATATTTAGAGAATCCCATAATTCAATTTCCTTTGTCATCGCGAAAGGGTAAAATAATTTTTTATTTCAAAATTTATTGACACAAAATTCTTAAGGACTTTAATAAAATTAGGACATTTTAAGAGACTAGATTATTGTTTATATAATTTGAGGATTTTATTATCATTTTCCTATTTTTTTCAATTTCAAACATAATTATTTATGTAATTAATTTTTGGGAGAATGACAAATAAGTCCCAAAGGGATCAATTATCAAAAGTGTCAAATTCTAGTAATTTACATGTTTACCTTTCAAATTTACAACTTTATTATTATGAATTTACAATTTGTATTTCAAATTTTAACATAAAAATTAATTAATTTTTTAACTATTTTAAAATGTAAAAAATAAGTTATAAATTTATTATGATTAAATTATAAAATTAAGAGTTAAATTTATAAATTTATAGAGTTTAATATTTGAGATTTTATTAAATTAATTAATCAATTTATATATCATTCTCTCTTAATTTATATATCATTCCCTCTTAATTTTTGTTTGATTTGCCAGCGTGACTATCGACTCCACCAATCTGTGCCACTTGTTGTTAAGTTTTTGTCGAACCCCAACAAACAGCTGCGAATCATCCAAAATTCTTAAAGTTCTGTCGTACGTCTTCGCCCTTCTCTCCACCACGTGGCGGTGAGTTACTGGAAACGTCCTCCCACGATATTTAAAACACTGCAATATTTTATTCAATTTATATTTAAAATCTTACCGAATCCTTTAAATCAATATATCATTAATTCATTATGAAAGGTATATAAAATATAAGCACATCAACTGCGCGATGGTTGGGTTCGATATTTCCATAGGGTTAGGTTGCGTGCTCGGACGGACTTTAGAGTCAAACATATGGTTGATGACTTGTAAGCATATACTTCAAAAACATGTGTGATTTATTATGACAATTACAAAGTGTTACATACTTTCATTATCCATAAGATATAATAGGATTTATTTTAAATTTTCTAACTCACATATATTCTATTTTATTTAGTTCTATTTATCAGAAAGAGAAAATTTTCTTTTCTTTTTATTATTTTTGCCAACAAAAAGAGAAATTTTTTTAATCTTATTTATAAAACATATCATTAACTTTTTATTATAAGTTTTTTCTCATGAGAAAAATTATATACTTTTTTTCTAACAAAAGAAATTATATATCATTGATATATATATATATATATATATAAAATAGAACTAAAGTTTGAAAACTTATAAATTTTTGAAAGAATAATATGTTAAAAATGTGATTGAAAAAAGTATATGAAAAAGGAAAACTAATTTAACTTCAATAAATTATTCAAAATACAAAAAATAAATATATAAAAAAGCGTATGCCAAACATATTATATTCACTTAATTCAATGTCTTTAATTAGCTTTTATCGTATTTTTTTTATATAAAAATATGACAAGTTAATGATAAATAAATTTTTGTATGTTAAAAATATAACAACTATTAAAATAAAAAATTTTAAATTTTATTAACTTTATATTAAAGTTTAATAATTTTTCACTCTTATCTCCTAATAAGAATAAAAAAATTATTTTTAATATTTTTTTTAACATTTAATAAAGTAAAAAGATAAAAAATATAAAAAATAATAAAATATAATTAAAATTAATCTTTTCTCTCTCATGAATAGAACCAGAGATATATTTTATTAACACAGTTTTTAATTGAAGTTTTATTTTTTTTGCCTCAAATTATTCAAGTGCCAATCCCTAAAACAATATATTTACGCATCTATGAATTTTTTAAAAAAACAATTTGAGTTTACATTTCGTGATCACTGATTATCCACTTGAGCTTCTTAAAATTTTTAAACATATCTTGTTTTTATTAAATTTCTTAAACTAAATGATACATGTCAACATAACAAGATTAACGTTCTCAAATACTAATATTTTTTAGATGTTAGATGTTATAGTTTAAATTAAAATTATATCCCAAATATTTGAGCAGCCTGGCCTAAACCTATAATTTATTTATTAAATTTAAATTTAAATTTTGTAACCCTCATTTGTCTTTATAAATAACGAGACCCTAAAATCTCACCCGCTCCTCAAATACCCCCAATTAAGTATCAGTCGTTAGATAACATGTTCTTGTCTTCAACATCACCTTCCCATCTCACTCAACGCTGATTTTTTATTTTTCCCAAATGTATCTTCTTAATCTCTCCGCTAATCCATCACTAATAACTCCCAATTGATTCATTCTGTTTCTTCTAGAAATTACCATTTGTTATCGTTCGCATTCATCGTTCTTACGGTTCAGGAATTTTGGGATGATGAAGAACGGGTCGTCTCTCACGGAGAAACCATGGTTCTTGGTTTTGGCTCTGATCGGCTTAATCGGCGGCGCCTTTTACATATCCTCCGTCGCCCGGAACTCTAACAGCTTATTGTGTTCCATCTCGGCGGTTAAAGGCGGTGCGGCGGAGGATTTTCAGGCCACGTCGACCCAGCTCAAGGCGATACTCCACTACGCCACCACTCATGTCGTCCCCCAGCAGTCACTATCGGAGATCCGAGTCACCTTCGATGTGCTCAGATCCTTAGGCCGGCCGAGCAACTTCCTCGTCTTCGGCCTCGGTCACGACTCGCTCATGTGGGAAGCGATCAATCCCGGCGGTACCACTCTGTTCCTCGAGGAAGACCCTAAATGGGTCCAAACAGTCCTCAAGGATGCTCCTCATCTTCAGGCTCACACGGTACATTACCGGACACATCTGAAAGAAGCGGACCGGCTTCTCTCTTGGTACCGGACGGAGCCAACGTGTTCGCCGGAGAGGGCTTACCTGCGTGACAACGACAAGTGCAAACTGGCTCTCCACAATCTGCCAGAGAATGTGTATGATAGGGAGTGGGATCTGATCATGATCGACGCTCCGAGGGGATATTTCGCGGAGGCGCCGGGGCGGATGGCGGCAATCTTCTCAGCGGCGGTAATGGCGAGGAACAGGAAGGGATCCGGTGTGACGCACGTCTTCTTGCACGATGTTGATCGGAAGGTCGAGAAGGTGTACGCGGAAGAGTTCCTGTGCAGGAAGTACAGGGTTGATGCCGTCGGGAGGTTGTGGCACTTTAAGATTCCGTCGGCGACGAACGAGACCCACCACAGTTCTCGGTTCTGCTAGATTGCGCCGACCATGACCACGAGATTTTTCAGAAAAGCGGTGTTGCTAATGCTCCCCATCCACAGCTTCGGGGTTCGATTATTATTATATTATTATTATTTTTTTAAATATTCAGTAATTTTGAATTATCGCACTATTATTATTATTATTATTATAATATTTTCCTTTCATAGGATCTAAAGTCTAAATCGAAGGGCTGTGGGGTAGGGATGAGGACGAATAGCCAAAATTACAGGGTTACGTGTCGCTGTCTCGTTTTTTTACCATTTTTTGTTTTTTAATTGAGATATATGTTTTTACCCACTAGAGGAGATTTAATATTATCATTTGGATGATGTAAATATTTAAAAAAAAGGATAAACGCAATTATAGTAATTTGTGGAGATCGTGACAAATGGAACTTAGTTCTCAAAATAATTCAAGTTAGGGTAAGTGGTATGAACTCTCATCCTTCAGCCTGAATATTTTATTCTCATTTATTGTGTGTGGAACAAATTTAAATATGTCTGCATCTTGCGCTCCCTCTTCCAAGAGAAACTAGTTTCAGCTGTTAGGGCTGATAAATGATAATGGATTGACAGGAATAAAATGGATGGAAATATTAACTGCCAACCTATTTAGTATGTGATTGATCAAAGGGAAGAAATAGTAGAAAAAGTGGGTGACATTGAGAGAGAGGGCTTGAAGGAGGGAGTGAGTTAATGAAAGTAGAGATGAAGATTAATATAGTCTAGACAAGGATTCTTTGGTACAGTATGATTCGAGATATATTATATTTTTTCCCATTTTTATTTATTATATGATACTTTTCACCTATTTTGAGAAAAATTAATTTTTCTTAATTTTATAAAAATAAGATTTATTTTTATTTTTATCCTTAACTTTAAACAATAATATAATTATATTAAATATTTTTATGCTAATCAAGAGTTAAAATTTAAAAAAATAATTTAATTATTATAAAAGTGTATCATATTTTAAACTAGAAATTATTTTTAGAATATGTCTTGATCAAAAAGAGCAGGTGTTATGGTTCTAACAAACTTGGTAATGAGGTTTTTTTATTTTTTTTTTAATGGGAAAGTTGACGCTAAAGCCATTGTGCAACCAAATGCCACAGTGCAACATTTTGTGGGCCATCGTAAAATGAAGAGCTCAGAAAGATGCCACAGCGCAACATTTTGTCCTTAACTTATTTACATTTGTTTTAGCATATAAGGTCCATAATCTCTACTTAAATAGACATTTGATCTCTCAAGGTGGACAGGCAAAATTGCACAATAATGTAGTTTATAATGCTTGTGATTTTCTGAAGCATACTTTGTGATTATTTTTTCTCTTTTCCGGCAAGTTCTATGAACAATGCCAAATGTAATGAATTATATAAGATAAAATTTACATATGTGGATTGCATAATTTTTTTTTTGGGCAATAACAGTTACTTTTCGTGACATGAAACAAAATTATATTAAAAATAATAGTAGTAATTAAAAAAAAAAAAAGAAGGGAATTGTACGGATAAAGGTAACACTCGAATTGGGTGAATGAAGCAAGGAATTTGGTGGAATGGGAATTGGGCGGCAGCAGAAAAAAGAACAGACGCTATATTTCAGGACGTACGTCTGGTCACTTTCCTCTCTTTGTTTCACATTCTGCCTTGTTTCCTGTTATTTAAATGCCACCTGTTACTTCTTTCATCCGGTGGTGGGGTTCCCTTCAACCGGATTTTGATTCTCACTGGACTTTCTTTCAATACATTTTTTCATATTCAATTTTAATTATTCATTCAATTGTTGTTTTGTTTTAATAGTGTGAGATTGTTAATTATATCATTAAAATAAATAACTTATTTATTATTATCACTTAAATGCTTTTGAAAACAAGACTATAATGTTTATCAATGACAATCATTAAATGAATATTATATTTATTTTTATATTATAATTAGCAATTTCACATCACTAAACCAAAACAATAATTAAATAAATAGTTGAGATTGAGTATGAAGAGATGTATTGAGAGAAAATATGAAGAGGATTTAAATACTAAAAGGTTTATTAATTTGATCAATCTTTGTTTCCATGGACAATTTTCTCCTTCAGCTTTTTGTTTTTTGTGTGTATGTTTTTTTAAGGGAGAATGTCATTGAGGTGTTCCAGAAGAAACATAATGGTTGTGTGGTCCTATATGAAAATATATTTTGAAATGAAAAAGTTTAAAATACCCCTAATCCAATTACAATATATTGTTTTGATATTTATAACTAGATGCTCAAATTTTGATAACAAGCTCATCATTTTACTCAAAATTTATATGTTGATTTGTAAAAATTCGCATAATTTGTTAATTGCCCTAATTGGTTTTTTTAGGGTAACTTGAAATTTCATTTTAAAAATGTGATCTATAACAACTAGAGATTAACTTTTTAAAATCAACTTGTATGGTTGTGAATTGAAGACTTTCACTTATTAATTTTTTAAGATAACTTGAAATTTTATTTTTAAAATATAATATGATCTAACCAAACATTGACTTGTTAAATTAGAATATGTCAATGTCAATTGCATAGCTTTTACTCCTTTCATGTAAAAATATAAAGTATTTTTAATCAAATTTTATCTCTTTAATAAAGTGATTACCTATTTTCAAACTAGCTCTATCTTTTCATATTTACTCCTATTAAATACCCTGTAATAAATATAAAGTCATTATTAATAGGAACACTTTTGAAAAAAAAGACAATGATTATACTCAAAAGACTAAAAATACCTTACATTTTTAAACATTTAATTTCTTAAAAAATGCCTTACATTTTTTAATAGAAAAAGTACTTGTTAATTTTTAAGTTAATATAGAATTTTTAGTTAATGATAATTTAGAAGAAAATTACTCGTTAAAATTCAAACACGTTATCAATATCTGAACACCTTGTTGTAAGACAAAACAAAATCCTACATTTGCATCAAGAATATTTAAGACATTTTACGTTGAAACACATTGTCACATAACTGAAGAAAAATTTTAGAATTATATGGGCACAAAATGCCATTATCTTTATTTTGAGGGCTTTCAATGACATTCTCTCTCTCTCTTATTTCTTTTCTGTACTAAATAGATAAAATAGATATTAATTCATATCAAGAACATTAGTTATATTAGATTTTTTTTTGGCCAGCGGCTATATTAGTTACTAGTAAAAAAATATTTTGTTTTCTTAAAATATTCCTTCTTTCAATCATTTACATTGAAAACTTCTTTTTAGGAATATTCTCTTGGCTCTAAATACAAGAAATAATGATTCAATGTCTGAAATATTTATTGAATTATTTCATTTATACCCTACTTTATGAAATATAATTAGGTTAGTGTCATTAGACACTAAGCCACCTCCAATATGTGTATTTTTTTAATGAAAATTAAATATGTAATATATCTATGAACCTCAATTAATTTCAATTATATTTCTTGGTCTTAATGAATAAATTATTTGTATCTTATATATATATATATATATATATATAAAGACCAGTGGAAGTATCGAATTGCTTATAATATGGGATTCTAATTAAAGGGGAAAAAATAGGATCTAAATAATTTTTTAAAATTATAAGAATATAATATTCATTAAATTATTAAGGCTATTTTAAGAAAAAAATTAATTCATAAACTATTTAAATTGCTAATTTCTGAAAAGTAATTATTTAGTACTTATATTCAAAATAGGAGGATGGAATATTTTATAATGTCGTATGTGACATTTTTCAAATGTTGCCAAAACTCTTGCCGAAATAATGGTTTTATTCAAACATTGCTAAAACTCTTAATTAAAGGAACGACGAACAATGGACATTATTTTGTTTCATTGTATTTTCTTTCAAAACGTTTAATCATGCGATAGTGTAGTGGTTGATCAATTTCATAACCTAGTTAATTATTTCAGTTCTTTCTCTGGTGTGTGTGTGTGTGTAAAGTTCTTTCAAGTTTTAATGACTTAACCTAATCTAAGTTTTTTTGGTAAAAAAAAAAACCTAATCTAAATTCAAAATCAGTAGAAGAAATTGACCATAATGATAAGTTAATTAATTTAATTGACAATTAAATTAATTAATTTGTCAAAAAATTGATTAATTATAGTCAAACTTAGTTGATTAATAGTAATACTAAACTAACTAAACATCAATCACAGTGATAATTAATTTTTATAAAATAACATCATTTTTCTCATGTTTATATGATGAATTGATTTAGGGGTCCTAAAAGATAATTAAGCAAGAGTTGGCCCTAAAAATAAAAAGATTGACCTTTTAGGGTTGAAAATTTCATTTAAAAAAAATAAAAATTTAAAATATAAAATAAACTAAAATTATCTTTTTTATTCATTGGTTGAATATATATGGATTAAGGAACTACTTTTAGAATTAAATTCTAATGTTAAGCTCATTACTAAAAAAACAGCACTTGTGGATCACATGAAAATTTATCCAAGTCAAAAGAAAAATTTGAAACAAAAGCTGAAGAGAAGTATTAGTATATCTTTCACATCTAATTGTTAGATTGTTGTAATTTCTTAAAGTTATTTATACTTAACAACTTAAAAGGGCTTAAAAAATCCCAGCTCTAAAGTATTTATATTATTATATGCTTGGGTGATGCTTATAGTGTTACCAATTTGTTATGGTTATGGATTGATTTTGTTTTAACTTGTTTATTTTTATAAACTTTATTTTGTGTGGAATATATTTTTTTAAAGTATAAATATGTATATTAAGCGTTTAAATTTTAAAAAAAAAACATATTAGCTCTGCCTTAGGGCCGAGTCTTAGCCATAATATCTTTAGGCTGACTCTAATTCTCCTCTCTGTACTTACTTGGCCATCTCTTTTTCTGTTACATCTATCTACAACTGAATAATAATATTAGAACATTATAAAAGAACAATAAAAGCAGAAGACACGGTTCAGAATTAAAAACATAAAAAAAAAGTATCCAAATTCCAAATCATTTCTTTTTTTGTTTTCCTTTGACAAATAAACATGAGAAGAAAATGACAGATTTATTCAGATGGTGACACTTAACTAAGCAAGGAAAGTTTAACAAAAATTAATAATGATGTCACTGTTCTCCGAAGAAATAAACAAAGAAAGAAACCACGTTTCTTTCACATTGCCGTCACGCTTTTCACCTCAAGCACGATACTCAAAATAAGCAATCAATTTCCATTGGGCATATTGGTTTGAACTCTGAAGGCTTCACAAGGAATGTCCCTTTCAAAAGCTCTGATTTTCAACCTCGTAGGAGGGTGTAGGAGCATTAAACACAACGCGGCATCCCTGAAACTTGAAAGTTCAAGGGCTTGTTTGGGACAGTTTTTTATTTTCTAAAAAAAAAAATTATTTAATAACATATTTTTAAAAATAAAAAAATAAATATTATTTTAGAGAGTAAATAAATGAAAGCATCTTTTAAGTATTTTGTAATTATTGTTTTAGAAAATAAGGAAGAATGTAAAAAAACACTTATTTTTATTATTTTTTATTTTTAAAACATGTTTTGTAAAAAATCAGTTTTTAAAATAATAAAACAAAAACATTTTAAGCCACCAACATTCTTTTCATAATGTTGGGCTCAGCCCTGTTCCAACAAAGTTCATTTATTCCGTTCAAACGAGTGTTGGAAAATTCAAAACCTAACTAATCTGTAGTTAAGGACAAATCGGCACAGACGCAAGTGGAGCTCAATCGGCACCCCCTCCATTCCTTTTTACGCTCAGTTCATTTAAAAATATTTTATCGAATCTCTTTTTTAATAAAATAATTAATCATCTCTAAAATAACACAATTTTTTATATTAAATTTTATTTAATAAAATATTTTATTTTAAAATAAATATAAGATAATTTACTTATTATAAACACTTTTAAAAAAAATTATAAAAATATTAAAAACACTTCACATTTTTGAATGGAGGAAGTCACTTTTAATTAACTCATTAAAATTATCATGAGTTATTTAGAAAAATAAAACCATCTTGAAAACAAATCACTTTCTAATTTTGTTCCAAAATATAATGACATTATGACAGAAATATTTATTAATAATATTTTTTAATATTACCCTCCTTATTATATACTCTTTTTAATATGCTTTTATAAATGAATTATTAAATAAAAAGCATTTTTGATAGTTTATGTTTTTATTTTAAATAAATAAAATTGTAAAGTGTTTTTAATGAACTTCATTAGTATAAATTTGGGACAGAAGGAATAATAAGAGAAACACATAATACACGATGAGCCATAAATTAAATCTACAACAAAAATAATATCGAAACCTGATAATAAATAACTCTCCACATATCTTATATTAAAGATTAAAGAATCCTTTTAAAATGCACCTTATAATACGAATAAGAGAGAGCACATGCAGCAGAAAAATAATTCAAATAGCAAGGGATTTCGAAGTAGAATTTAACAGAGAAGATAATCATGCTTGTTACTAGATAAATATAAACAACAAAATTGTCTTGTATATTTTCTTAGTCACGAATGGTAACAGGTTACATATTCAGCAAATACAAGTGATCTCATATCCACCGTGGTTGCTAGGACAACAGAGAAATATGGATTAGACAGATAAAATCAAGCTAACTATTGGAAAGCAGGCAAATCACGAATTGTGATTTTCTGTTGTGCTGATGGATGACGACACAGCAGATCTAGCCATTCATTCACATACAACTCAGCCGTTTATCCTTTTAATTTTGATTCTGATTTTTTTGTTTATAAAGATCAGCTCCCAACTTCTAGATAAACATCTTCTAAACAAAAGAAATAAACGACTCAGTCCGTTAATATATGAGAAATAAATAAATAAATAAATGGCTAAATCTGTCATGCTGCCCGCACACAGTGAACGATCCTAGTCCCAGTACGCATCATACATATATCGCCGGGGAGCATTCTATACAAAGAAACCTGACGGATTATAAAAAATATTTCATCCGTTCATCTCTCCTCATGGCATTATAGACCGCTTGCACCTGAAAAGTGAAGTAACATTCTATATTCAGGCAGCCTCCTTCGCATAAGACTCAATCCACGAGTCCACAACACAAGATCTAATCAAATATTGATATATATCTATATCTATATATATATAATGCTCAGTGACTGTAGATAAAAATATCTACGCGTTACTTCCTTTTACAGGTGAGTAACAAATGTTTTTTTCCTTCACTAAGAATCGCATGCAGCAAATTTAAATTATAAAGATTTAAGACATAAAGACCTGTTCGCTGGAAACAACTTGGATTGGCCCAATATTTACAGATACATATTTGCCCCTTGATGATACCTTCTGCTTCACACGTTCCTGAAACAAACGTTATATTTCAAGGAGATCAGACACCATTTGGCATGGGGAAATGAAACGCATCTACTGTATAAGTGTATGCGTATGAATTAGCATGGCGAACAAAATCATATTCAAGATAGGTAATCCAAGTTGGTAATCGACGCATGCTGTGGTGTCCATGATAGATAAAATTTACTTAAATTTTGCAAGATACTTCATATGATCAACACTATATCGGTAAGAAACTAGCAATTAGTTCTTTTTTGCAATTTCTCAATGCTCGTTCTCAGTTCTCACATTGCTCTTGTAAGTAGCAAATAAATTCATCAGAAGCCTTCTTCTCCGACCTAGTAGAAAATAATCACTACCTGGCTTTTATCCCATGTATTATTATCCACCTAGATGTGAATGCTTTGCCAAAGCAGGTAAAAGACATCATTACCTCAGCTAAACCTGTCCTAACTGTCCCGGGCGAAATGAAATTAATGGCTCACTTCCCACCTGAATATCTGATTACTGATGGAGACCAAGGTAGCAGGGGATGTCTTGGTGCATCCCGCATCGAATGGAATGAGATGCTCTATGAGATTACTTAAGTGTGTAGGTTCTTCCACGTGGAAGGCTAGAAGCTCTTATGGGAGGTTTTTCCATCTTACAAGAGCAACCATCAATTTACATCAAGGTTGGTAAGTGATCAGCAATTTTTGGAAAGGGCAATCTGATGAGAGTTCTGAGAAGTGTAGAGTTCAAACCAGTGAGGAAGCCAAGCGAAGTGTCATTAAGTGTAGCCATCGGAACACTTCAAGGGGGTCGAATTGAAGAAGAGTAAGAAAGGTACTATGGAATGCTCTATAGGATACTTAAATGAATTGGTACTCCTATCTTTTTAGGGAGGTTTCTCATTCAACGTGGACACCCATCCATTACCCATTACCTATGAAACCAGGTTACCTTCCAAAGCTCAATAAACTTAAAAAAAAAAAAAACTTTCAATTCATGACCAAGACATAAGCAATGCATTCCAACCTTTTGCTGACTTTTAGGTAGTTAATAAAGCTGATAAGGAGTCTCTGTGCGTGAATTTTTTGCATGAGGTGGGAGGTTAACAATGTCTTGGACTATTAATGTCGATGATATTCAATTTTAGCCCCACAAGGATACATCAGAAAACTCTCAAACAAAGCTCACAAATTTCATTCCCTCGCATCCATCAGAAAAAAGGTTTTAAGGATCTTATTAGCAGCTCGAGTATATGCTCAAGGTTCTTTTTGCAGCATGAAGTCTTGAAACCCTATAGTCAGAGTCTAATACAAGTTCATGATTAATCACTCTTCCTTGTCAATGCAGGTTAAACGCATGATATCTATTTACAATCAAATCTCAAGCTCTTGCCTCCCTTTAAGGCATATAAACTCAAATTACCATGAATTTGTTGTTTAACAACTTGATAAATTTCATAGTTTAATAAGTTTTAACAGTAAACTTCATCTATGATTTATAGCCAGTCTTGAGCCTTGGATAAAAGAAGAGAGTTGTGCTTGGCCATTGACAGTTTACATAAAACTTTGTCGAATTTTACATGGACAATAGATGTTTTTATGCCAATACAAGGATGTTGCTCTTAAGCATCGTGCTGTATGGCTCAATTATAGTGTCAAATGAACAAGAGCCATTGCATCAGCACCTAGATGTAATATTCAATGAGCAAGGGTTCCAACATGATTTTGGATGGGATGTGGGTAATGAAGTTAGTCTGTATTAACAAGGTCAGATTTGACACTTGGAACATCGAGACCTTATCTTGTAAATCTTTGAAGGTGGTGAAAGTTATCAGACGGAGGAATATTAACATCATGTGCCTTTAGGAAGCTAAATGGGTTGGAGAAAAAGCAATGGAACTTGCAGATTTGAAACTTTGGTACACAGGAAAAGTGAATACCAGGAATGAGGTTGGTATCATTGTTGATGAAGAGTGAAGAAGAATGGGGTGGAAGTTAAAAGGATTAGGGACAGAATCTTATCTCAATAATGATAGTTGGAAGTGATACTATTAACATTATTAGTGCCTATGCACCTCAAGTAGGGGCAAGCACATCTTGAGAAGTTTTTGAAAAATTTGGAGGGGTTGATTCAAGGCATTCCATAAGATGAAAAGATTTTCATTAGTAGGGATCTTAATTACCATGTCAATAAAAGGGCAGGACAATGTGTGGCCCCTTATGGTGGTATTGATTTTTGGGAGCTTAATGATAAAGGACAACCTATTCTTTATTTCTCCTTGGCATATAATCTCAAGATTGTCAACACATTTAAAAGTGGAGCCTCAAGGTCGCAAATTGACTTCCTTTTAGTACTGAATCCTAATAGAAGAAGAATTGCAAATAGATTCCTGAGGAAGACATGACAACAAATCGTAAGCTCCTAGTCCTTGATACGTGTATTAAGAGTGAAAAAACAAAAGCGCTGACAAGTTTTAAGCCCCATCGTTAAGTGGTGGCTGTTGATGGGTAAGATGCGAGTGATTTGGAGAAAAGGTGATTGGGAGTCACAAGGAAATGCTAACACCATGTGGAAAAAAATGGCTAAGTAAGGAAGGTCGTTAAAACAATTTTGGGAGATTCAAAAGATTTAGACTGAGGAATAAGGAGCCTAGATGGTGGAATGAAAATATAGGAAAAATTCAAATATAAAATAGAATATTTTAAAATTTGGAAAGGTATTGTTTGGTTAAAAAGGAGACTAAGAAAGTGAGTGAAGTTCATTCTAAAGCCAAGCATTTGAGGAATTTTAAAAGGAGTTAGGGAAAAAGGAACAAAAGATTTATAATATTGCAAAGAATAGGAAAAGAAAATCAGGAGTTTTGGACGAATAAGATACATAAAGGATGACGAAGAAAAAGTTTTGACTACAGATGGAGAAATTAAAAACAAATGAGAAGCCTACTTTTACAAGCTCTTCAATGATGGAGGGGGATTACCTAGTGACTTGGAGGACTTGATAACATGAGAAGATGATCAAAGTTTGGTGGTTTATCACAAGATCTGCATTGGTGAGCTCTTAAGGGAATGGAAAATGGTAAAGCCGCTGGACTCAATGATATCTTTATTGAAGTGTGGAAGTGTTTAGGTGAAGAGGGGGTGATATGACTAACTATGTTATTTAATGAAATTTTACAATCAAAGAAAATGCCTGACGAATGGAAGAGATGCATGTTAGTTCTTATTTACAAGAATAAAAAGGATATTCAGAATTGTGCAAGTTACAAAGGGATATTATTTGAGTCATACGAAGAAATTATGGGAAAGAGTGATCGAACATACAATGATATTGGAGGCTTCTATTTCTGAGCCAATTCAGATTTATGCTAGGAAGGGCTACAACAGAAGTGTTCTATCAACTAAGGGGATGATTAATGGGAAAGTACAAGAGAAAAGGAAGAGACTTACATATAGTTTTCATTGAATTGTAAAAAACTTATGATTGTGTATCAAGAGAAGTGCTCTAGAAAGCTTTGGAAAAAAAATGTCTAAGTGTTGCATACATCAAACCTAATAAGATAAAGCTCATTGTTATTATTGTTGTTGTAACAAGTTTTAACATCAATCACATGCAATCATCTAGGCTAGAACTTATGACTAGCACAACAGCCAAACTATCAAAAGTTGCACCTGACTAGAGAAAATTGACATGGGAAATAGGGTAAGGTGAGCTGAGCCAACCCAACCCAATAATTAATTAGGTATTAATTTATTTCATTTGACAACCTAACAATCGACACCACTATTTCACCTTGGAATGTTATTACCAAGCTTAGCAAACAATACTATGTTATCCAAAAATGAACATGACATAGAGTTCAAGAGCAAGCCAAGTCATTCAAAAGTCAGATTGAAGCAAAAAAGAAAGAGGCAGTCTTGTAACTCAAACACCGTGATCTCAAAAATTTCAAAACAAGTTAGTAAATGGTCCTTAAAACAAATGTATGAATAACCAAAGCCACTGACACTTTCCAAATTTTTTAAAGTTGAACACCACAAATTCCAACAACTTTTGTGTCAATAAATCTAAAAAGGAAAGATTGTTAAGCCCCCAATCCATATGGTTTAGCAGAGAAGGCTCCAGCAAGGTAGTCAAAGATGAAAGACACCTCAAGGAGCTATATTTGCACAACACCTTAGGCAAGAGGTGCTAGAAAGGCACTCGCCTAAGTGAATCAAGGTGCTAGCAGCAATAATAAAATATAACATAGACCAAAAAAAAAAAGAAAAGAAAAGATTTGATGGCATCAAATAACAACTTAAAAACCTATCATAGTAGTTATCTGAATCAAAAGTGAAAACATAAGAAAGCCGGTCATAGTATTTTGTCCCCAAAAAAAAAAAAAACTTGAATAGTATTTTAAATTTATAACCTGAAATAGCATGCACTACTCAAGCCCCTCTTTGCTTTTTCAGCTTTGTTTGCAAAACCCTAAAAAAGTAATAACTCAAAAAACATTTTAAAAGTATAATGTCTATTTTCTAATGTTATCTTAAATCTAAAAAGGTTGTGTGGACTTTCCAAGTCGTATGATGTAGTTTTTAGAGGCTTGAGTTTTCAGTTAAACTCCTTCATATAACTAAGGCACCTAATGCACTCATGAGAGGTGCTAGAGCTGTTTGGTGAACAAAGGTGCTCACCACAACATTAGGCTTCAGTCTAGAGATGCTTTACCTGAAGCTTATCTAGTAGAAGGTCCAGATGCGTTGAATCCAGACATTGTCCAGAATGGATAGGAGGCAAGTAATAGTTTGCCTATGTAGGGAAACAGAAAGAGGAGAGAGGGAGGGAGAACAAGAGCTACCTGATGGGTGGGTTGGAGGCTGGCACAGAAACGTGTAGAGATTTAGGAGGTTTAAGCACCCTAAAATTATCAACACCACTTCTATTCTATCTTCTATTGATTTCTTAAAGTGCTGATATTGCTCTATTTTTTCACTACTTCAGGCGTAAATCCTGTGTGCGTATTGCTAGTGTTACCATATTAGTATCCTAACAAAAAGCTTGAAAGCAGATAATATAAATGTCCATCGCTAACATGTAGCTTTGTTACCTCAACGAAAAAGGAAAAGAAATATCTATGCTTTAGCCTTTGGATGAAAAATTTGTGCACTACATGATTACATATAATGACATAGGTGAAAACTCACGCTGGATTTTATTTAAGATATAGGTGAAAAATCCTTATTTGATCCCTTTAGTCATTAGATTTATAGTTCGCATCCAGTCTAATCAATTCTTTTCCAGATTCCAAAAAGAATAATAATAATGATAAAATGACTACTAATAATTATAGTATTGTATATGCATTACGAGACAGGTTCAATTACCATAACAATTAGAATTAATGTACATGCATAATATATGAAAGCAAAGCTTGTAAAGAAAGCACACAGAAAATAAATATATACACTTAGATGTGTGCGTAAGCATGTGTGCATGTGTGTCAAGAGCGTCATCTAGAATATAAATTTAGAATATTTGTAAATTAATGCATCGATTTTTTCTCATAGATAAGTCCAAATAGCAAATCTTTCTTCATAAATACCTCAGGAATTGGCTGTTGGATTACAGACTCCACAGCAACAACCATGGCTTGCACAAAGTCCTCGCCTCCAGTTCCTATAGCAGTAAACCCTCGAACAGTTGGGTATGAGTTCACCTAGTGCGCAAAAACAAATATTGTAACTCTGTCTTTCTTGCAACAGAGAACTTTACCAATTACAATATCAATAAGATACTAAATGGACAGAAGATGCATGTAAGTGTATCCTTACACGAATGCTAGATAAAGGAAGCAGAGATATCTGGTCAATCCCATGAAAGGGAGTCAGAAATGTATGAAGCAATAAATTCATACCTTCTGGTCCAAAGCCAGCCATTCATTGGTAGAATCATCTGCCACAGTGCCTCCAATAACCATGTTTGTAGTTTGGCCAACCCTTCCTTCTGTCTTGGACACCTCTGTAACAAATCAAAAGTTGTTTACACTTCAGAAAATAAAAAGCATAGAAATTTTATGTACTACACACACCGCAAGAAAAAGGGAAACTTAACGCACTTCAACAACTTGCAATTAACAAAACGTAATCTAATATCCATAGGAGGCGCAGCAACCATCTATAGGCGAATGGATTGAATTCTAAATACCAGAGCCTAGCATATTAAGAGAACGTTCTGGTAATAATAACATTACCAAAAAGAGAGCGAGAAAATGCCTATCCATCTAGTCCTTTTCTCATATAATTTATGCATACCACACAATTTCTACAAATTTAACTGGAATTGGCTTTCGCAGCCCGAATTAAATAGTTATGAAAGAAACGGTGGGAAAAAAAAACCTGAAATGGCCTTGAGAACGGCTTCTTGAGGAGGACCTTGATCGTCATGAGAGGACGAAGACGAAGGCGTTTCGTTGTAAGAGCAGCGAAGAGTTCGCTTTGCAGAATGAAATCGGCAAGGCTTAATGGTTCGGAAATTATAGCCTGAGGCTGTATTGAAGCACGATGGTCGGAACGGTTCCACCAGAACGGCGGAACAACGAAGCATGCTCCTGCACGCCATCCTTGTTGATGTGGTTATTGCTTGCTCCGTTGCTCCTTCTGATTAGATATATTATTCAGATAAATGTGCTTCTCCTTCTTTCTTGGGCCTGAACTTCTCTCCATGGCCTGAAAATCTGCCCGTGTTTTATGAATGAATTATTTTTAAAAATTTATTTATATTTATTTTTATAATATAGAATATATAATATATAATATTTACTTTAACAATTAATTTTATGATTTTAATAAAAATAAAATATTTATATATTTATTTTTATAACATGTTTGTTTTCCATTAAAACATGTGATTTTTTATAAATTATTCATTCAATTATTAAATAATAAATTCTTATTATTGAATAAAAATATATTAAATATATAAAATTAAATATATAAATCTTGTCTTTTAATAAAAATAAGAATTTGAAAAAGAAACTAAAAATTTAATTGAAAGTTATAAGTTTTACGCATTTATTAGTTGGATGAATTGTCTATAATATTTTTAAGGTGAACATTTGATATAACAAAAAATAAAAGAATAATTATAAATAGAATTATGTTTAATTTTAAATATATCACTGTTTCAAGTAAATTTTTTAAATATTTCATCATATTACGAAACTCCAAGACAGTCTTTTTTGACCTTGAAACCAATAAAGCGTCCTTACTTCTTAAAAATGAGACATGCAGATTTTATTATCATGTTGCAAGAAGCTATTTGCATTTAACTGATATATATATATATATATATATATATATTATATCCATATCCATATCCATATTGATTGATTGATTTTTTTGGCTGGAATATATATTTTATCTGATTAAAAAATGTATTATATAATATTTAAATATTGTTGGAAAAAATATTAAAATATTTAATATTTAATATTTAATATTTAATATGTTGTTGTAAATTGCAATGTTGTCGTTGTTAATTATTAGTTTTTTAAATGGGTCAACAATGCCTTCTTGAATCCATTCAAAAACCTAATTCCGATTAACCGTTGGATTGATTGCAAGATTGCAACCCCCGTCAGTTCCTTTCCTATCACCGGCGCGACTTGGTCTGATGTACGGTTCGGAGAAACTTACGGACGACTCGGAGCGAACAGCTTTTAGAAGAGCAGAGAAGAAATACAAGCTCTATTACGATAATGCTTCCAAAAAGTACTGTTCCTCTATCATTCTTGTTTGCATGCTTATTCTACCCGATGTCTAATTCTGGTTTCATGTGTAATTCACAACAGGAAGAAGCAACCGAAACCAGTGGACCTATCGGAGGTCCTCGATTTCAGGACTATTCTTGAATGCCACAAACTAGATGGGGAACTTCCTTCAGGTGTTATCCTTCTTGAGGAAAATTTCATGTGTCCCGTGTTTTCTTTGGAAAATCGCCCTGGTATGCTTATCATTTTGGTCGTATGATCATTCACTGTCTTTTTCTTTTGCCACATGATAATCATTCACATTGGATTTATACCCTGTCTCTGTGTAGCTTATGGTTATTATAACGCCAGGCAAATAGTTGCTTTATATTGTTATATATAATTGTGTGAGCTGATTTTGAATTTAGCTTTTAAAGTTAGAGTGTAGATTGAGCTCTTTTCATTTTTGGGACTGACGTTGCAGGATTTTATTTTCTTCCTGGACCATTGACTGTGGAGGAACAATGCACATTGATAAAGGAAAGCTTAATTGATTTCCCACAGCCCCCTAACAGAACAAACCACAATGCTATATATGGGCCTATACATGACTTATTCCTTGCAGCAAAAGAAGGGAAAGTTCTGGTTGAAGACAATTCTCCGATAAGCTCATCTAAAGCTAAGCCTCATAATATCAATGGAGTTGGTAAAGAGTGGAAGTTTTATTCAGAAAATGCGGAGTCCTTAAGAAGCTGTAAATCAGTTTCTGCTTCCGCTTTATTGAGGAAGTTGCGGTGGAGCACCCTTGGCCTACAATTTGATTGGTCCAAGGTAAAGCTTTAATTGACTGAATTTTATTTGTTAGCTGTTTACTCTCTGCCTGAAACCTGCATAACCTAGTTATACAAATTGATGTGTGAGCTCATTCTTCATTAGGATTTTCATATGAGAACTCTTGGTGACTTTTAGGTTAGGCTCAGAGATAAGCTGCTGCGACTTGTGGAGAGAGGAGCCTTATTTTAGTGTTAATTGGGATGTACAACAATTAGTAGTAATATCCAACTCGAGCTGATTCTTTGTGATAAAGCCCTTAGCATTGCATCCTAAACATGTGTCATGAGTCCTTAGTAGAAGTGATGTGTTCAATTTCTGAGATAAACACCATACGTGTTAGCAATATATCTGAATAATTTTGTGCATGTGCAGCGAAACTATGATGTGTCTCTCCCTCATAACAAGATCCCCGATGCACTCTCTGAGTTAGCCAAGCAATTGGCAAAACCTGCATTGCCTGTTGGTGTTGAATTCCAGCCGGAAGCTGCAATAGTGAACTACTTTGCATTAGGTATGCTAACAAGTTAAAACGGATATTTATCATATTAAATACATGCATCTAAATTTGTGTACCTTTTATTTTTATTCTCTTTGTTCACTTTGCCGATCCCACCTAGTGGGATACGGCTGCTTGTAATTGTTGTTGTCATTGTTGGTAGCTAACCACAGCCTTGCCTTTGATATTTGAGGTGACACGCTGGGTGGCCATCTTGATGACATGGAAGCAGATTGGAGTAAGCCAATTGTCAGTTTAAGGTATTATGCCAATTTCTTGTTTCTTTTTGTATTTTTTACTCTAAATTTATACATGTGAAAAGGAAAAACTGAAATTCATTCTTGATTTTATTCCCCCCCCCCTCTTTTGCTTAGTTTGGGCTGCAAAGCTATATTTCTTCTGGGAGGAAAATCTAGGGATGATCCTCCCCTGTCAATGTTCCTTCGAAGTGGTGATGTTGTACTCATGGTTGGAGAAGCTAGAGAATGCTTTCATGGTAGGTTTTACGATTAACTTAAGAGATAACTACATGATTTCATATTGTTTCCCTTGCTAATAAAATTTGAACATGAATAATTAAGGCTATCTATAGTTCAAACAGATATGCTGATGATGGTTTAAACCAAGAGTTAACTGTTCTTACATAGGAAAGGGCTGTTACTGGGTAGTATACTAGTGTTTTCCATTAAGAAATTTATGTTCTTTATCCACTTCCTATTATAAAACGCTTTCAATTACTTCATCAGAACCAATGAATGACAGTTAACTTATTAAATATGTCTTAAAATAAAAAAATTCCAACTTTACCCTATTAAAAATAAGAAGGGAAGGATATATAGTATAAGATGAGTTAAAAAATTAAATTTACAATGGGGGTAAAATCAGAAAATGGTTATAAATGGTCTTCCATGTACCTTATAGTAAGGATAAAAAAAATCCTTCTAAAAGGTGTTCTGTAATGAGGACCGAGGGAGTTACAGCATGAGACCACAGGAACTCATGTTGCATTAGTGAATGTCTTGTGCTGAGAATTGCTCTTTCAGTATTACGTACTGGAAATTTATATTATGTGTTGCAGGTGTTCCTCGGATCTTCACAGACAAAGAAAATGCTGAAATTGACCATCTTGAGGCTCAACTATTGCAAGAAGATGATGTTTGTTTCTTGAAATATATTCAAACTTCAAGAGTCAACGTCAATATCAGACAAGTTTTTTGAAATGTAGTTTATTTTGTCATGAGTTCATAATACAGAAGGAAAAAAGAATATTATCATTTTCTATAGAAGATTATGATTCAGATATATGATGCTTAAATTATTACCTATTGCTGATTGATTTTTGTCTTGGCATATAGCTGAACGCGCATGTGACCGGTGAATTGACCTTGCAGAAGCAAATGTTTAGTGCTTGCTGCTATTTGCAGTTTTGCACTTTCAATATTCTGTGTATGACTTGATGTGTTGCAGGCTTACTTCGGATCTTCACGGACAGAAAATGCAGAAATTGATCATCTTGAGGCTCAACTATTGCACGAAGATGATGCTTGTTTGTTTTCCCCGCGCACGTGTCTTCCTGACAAAAGCAATCTTGTTTAAATCATGGCTAGTTTAAACGTGGATATGTCTTCTAGTGAGAACTCAAACTTTTGCTAGCCTAGTTGTGACGGACTATTCTTGTCCACGAAATTCAACTCCTGTTAGTAAAATGATGTTTGTTTCTTGAAATATATTCTAACTTCAATCAACATCAATATCAGACAAGTTTTTTGAGATGTAGCTTCTTTTGGTTCCAAATTGAAATTATGTTTCTTGAGTTTATAATGCAGGAAGAAAAGATATTGTCATTTACAAATTTTACATTTTCTATGAGACAGATGACACCAGCGTACATATACATGTTTATAAAAATTATTTATAACCATTGTCATTTTTTTATAGCGAAATTGTGATGACATGTGATTTGAACTGGATGTTTATGAGTTTATCTGATAAGCTATTGGCAAGGTGCTAAATTACTTCTCCACGCAATTCATCGATAAGATATTTCTCCTTCACATATGCCCATTATTATGTCTTTCTTGTTGGATTGATAAGGGCCTAACAAAAACCAATAACATGTTAAAAATTTAGAAAATGAGAGTCTGTTTGCTTCTTTTCTTATTTTTTAAAATTATTTTGCAATACAGTTTTTAAAATTATTTTTCAAATAAAACAAAATAAAAATTATTTGGTTGTATTAATTTAAAAGCATTTTTGAAATTAAAAAATGAGTCAATAATGATGGTCACCAGCAGTTAATGGTGATTATTTATGATAATTCATGGTTAAGGTAATTGTAATTTTCAATAACAAAATGTAATGTATTTTAAAAATTGAAAAATAAATTAAAAAAACTTCAAGATGGTTATATTTTTTATTTTTTAAAAACAAAAAATTATAACAGTTAAAAACAAACTTCAAAATATTTATCTAAACAAATTTTTAATTTTTTGGTTTTTAAAAAATAAAAAACTATTTTTTTAAAAAGAAACCAAACAGCCCTTAATCTTTCAATTCTTACACCTGATTTTTAATCAAGTTCTTGTAATTTTTTTTTTATTGAGTTCTTGTAGTTTCCTCAATTATAGGTATTGGTCTCTATGCTTATAATCCGTTAATTTGTAAGCCGAACATTTTAGTTGCTGATGGTTGATAATGTGGCTGGTTCTGACTTACCATAGATATAGATTAATTTTGCATTTTGAATTTCACTTTCGGAAACTTGATTCCATTTTCTTTTTCAGTTGATAAAGCCACAGTTAAAATCATGATTATAAAAAAAAAAAAAAGAGACACTTGAGTGTAAAAAATTCTTACACCCTAGCAGTGGATCATTAAAAATTATAATATTAAAACTATCCCTATCAACTTGATGAGATAGCTAATTAACACAACGATTTACTTATATGAAAATAAGGTCAATGGAGACCTGTCAATCATGCATAAGAAGGTTCTTGATGTTTCTAAGATTGATATGAGGATGATTAAATGCATATTAATTTTGTATAAGATGAATAGCTTTCAAAGAATTACAGTGAATGTTGATATGAGAGTAATCTTCTTCCAAATAGAGTTTGAGTCTTTCAAGGATTGTCAAAAGCTCCATAGCAGTAGTGTGATGATACCTTAAGAAATTTTGTGAATCCGTTTTTCCAAGATCCTTGTGAGTCTCAAATGACTCCACCACCAATAGCAAACTCATAAGAATCAACAGAGCCATCCACATCTAACTTGAAGCAACATGGATTATGAGGTATCTATTTTGAGAATAAATCCTTGTACCTAACAGATAAGGAACTCGTACAAATTTCCAAGCTTAGGTCATTTATTGTAGATTGGGTGCACTTAAAAGCAATGTTATGAATCAATATATCTTCTTCAGAGTGTAATTGGATATCCCAACAAATTCGAGCAAACAATCTTTGCTGGGTTATTCTTTTAGATGTTGAGCTTCCAACTTTATGCTTAGTGTTTCATAAGATCCAATCTTGCAAAGGAAGTGTGAGGAAGGTATTAATTTTTGAACATTTACCAAGTTCATGCCATGCCTGTTTTGTTTTAGTGTAGTCCTTAAGAATGTTGATTGAATTATCTAGGATTGCTACCAAAAGGACAAGATCTGGCAAATGCCAACATTATTAATTCTAGTGAACTTAGTCTGGAGACGATCCCAAGCAGCTTTTAAGAGAAGAAAAAATAATTTTATCAAAAGTAGGCCATCTCTAAATATTAGATCAAAGACCATAATTCACATCATCAATATAAGAATTAATGGCATTGTAAGCAAATTTCTCTACTACAGATTTATTAATATATGACAAGGCTTATTAGACGGTTATATAATAAACTGTCTAATAAGCTTATGCAGGAATCAATATTGAACGGTTCTGTGGTCAACCTCCAATATTTACAAATATATTGGACAGTTATCTTTAGAATCATCTAATATAAAATTCAAATTTTGAATTTTTGACATTTTTTTATTCTGACACAGATATTGGCCAATTATTATGTATAACTGTCCAATATGCGACACATTTATTGGACGGTTAAGTGGATAACCGTCCAATATATGTTTAACTTATTCATTTCCCCTCTCATTTTAGATCAGATTTCAGTTTTGCAACATTGAGTCTCTCTTTCTCCGCACCTTGTCTCATCTGTTTTCTATTTTCTTTTCTCTCGATCGAGCAACATCTTCTCTGCTAGAGCTTGTGTTCTTCAATATTCCTCAAGCTTGTGTGGGTCTGCTCTTCTCCTTCATTGACTTTGTTTTTTGCATTCCGTAAGTGCTTGCCTCTTCTCTCCTTATTTCTTCACATTTCTTCTTAATCTCTTGAGTGCTATCTGAAACCATTTAAGTGGATTTTTGTGGTTGATTGTTGTTTGAAATTGATTAGGCATGGTTGATTTTTGATTTGGTTTGGGTTTATCAGATTGCATTATGTTGATTTGGTGTGTTATTATGTTGCCCACAAGGTATTTTATGAAATGTCTCGTAGAAAAAAAATTATCTTTAGCCAAAACCCATATGAAATTTAAGTTATGGATAAGTTTAAGACATATGTTAGACTAATAATATTTGATTAGATGTGAGTTATATAAATTTTTTATTTTTATTCGAATTTATGACTCATTTTTTGTGTATTTTCTGTTTGAACAATATTTAAGTGATTTGATTGAAAATTTTTTATCGTTTGATTCTTTAATTAATAGTTGAGTAGTATATGAAGTTTTATATTAATTGAAATTGTGTATGAGTACTTTAAACTTACTCAAAATTGTTATTCACGTGTGTCTTTTAGCTTAAAATACTATATGTTGTTATTGTTGTTGTTGTTGTTGATGATGATGATGCTGTTGTGATTAAAATGACAAAAAATGCCTTGGAAAATTCCATTTTTATATCGTTATGTTGTCCAATTTTTATTTAAAATTTCATTTAATTTTTTTTTCTTTTAAGTAAAAAGCATAAAACAATTAGGATGTATGTTAATATTAATATTCAAATATATATTTTTCTTATAATTGTAAGTAACATTTTGTGTGTGATTGTAACCAAACATAAAACAATTATATTCCTTTTTTTTAAATATATACAAAATAAATCCTTTTTTAAAAATCTGTAAAGTATTTAAAAATTACTTATTTTTTTATTTTAAATACAGGGGGCCTTAATGTTGTTTGGATTATATATGTTTAAATACAATGCCTAAATAAATCATGAAAATAAATGTTATAAATTATTTAGAACTTATAAATTAAAAAATTCACTTATTGGCAAGTTTTTGTTTAAGATAAATTACTTACAATTAGTTTAATATAATTGTATGTATTATCTTAAACTTAATTAGCTTAGAGAGGAATGGTGTGTGTGTGTGTGTGTGTGTGTGTGTGTGTGTGTGTGTGTGTGTGTGTGTGTGTGTGTGTGTGTGTGTGTGTGTGTGTGTGTGTGTGTGTGTGAGAACATGTGGCTCATGATTGATTGAGTTAGTAGTTAATTTATTTGTTAAACCAACTCTTTCAATATGATTGAGTCACTAATATCATTTTCCTCAATTGGGAGAGATCATGGATAAGGAATGGATGTTTACAGATAGAGTCTCAAAGGAATATTTAAATGGGGTGAAGTAGTTCATTAGATTTGCATTAGAGCATGAGGCAGATTATAATAACGTTGTGTGCCCTTGTATCAAGTGTGGCCTCTTGAAACAAGTTAGTGCAAGTGAGTTGGAAGACCATTTAGTGTGCTATGGAATTGATCATATTTACACATATTGGCATAAGCATGGTAAGTCAAGGGATACAACTGATAGAAGTTGTGGGAATAGTGATTCAATATACGTGTCACATGATTTCAAAACAAATATAGACGAGGACGATCATGTTAAAGAGATGGCAAATGCTATTGAAGAGGAACTCCAAGATTGTCTTGAAATGCTTGAGGTTGAGAAATGATGTAGGAACACCTTTATACTAGTTGCTCTGGATTCTCAAAATTGATCTTTGTGTTGAGATTGTATAACTTGAAAGCGAGGGGGGTTTGACTGATACGATCTTCACTGAATTTCTTTCACTTATTCATGAAATGCTACTGAAGGGTAATGAGCTTCCAACCTAAACATATGGTGCCAAATAGGTGTTGCGATCTATTGGCATGAGCTATGGGAAAATACATGCTTGCCCTAATTATTATACTTTGTTCAAGAATGAATATGCATTATTAACCGAGTATCCTACATGTAATGCATCACATTATAAGGATAATGGAAACAGTTCGGAGAAGGTGGTATGGTACTTTCTCATAGTGCCTAGGTTTAAATGTTTATATAGCAGTATAGTAGATTTCAAAAATTTGACATGGCATGCAGACGAAAGGATTAGAGATGGTATGCTAAGGCATCCTGCTGACTCTGCTTAATGGAAAAAGGTTGATCGAGAGTATCCAGATTTTGCAAGAGATTCTAAGAACCTATGCCTTGCACTAGCTACTGACGGAATGAATCCACATGGCATGTAAAGCAGTACCCATAGTACATGGCCAGTGATGTTAATTATTTACAACCTACCTCCATGGTTATGCATGAAGCGCAAGTATTTGATAATGTCCATGTTAATTTTTGGGCCAAAACAACCTGAATATGACATAGACATATATTTGGCTCCTTTAATTGAAGATTTAAAGCTATTATAGAAGATAAGTGTTGAGGTGTATGATGGGTATAAGAAGGAAACATGTAATTTGAGAGCCATGCTATTTAGCACAATCAATGACTTTCCAGCTTATGGTAATTTGTTTGGGTATAGTATCAAAGAAAAACCTGGATGCCCTATTTGTAAAGATAGTACACATTTAATGAGATTAAAACATGATATGAAGGATGTCTACATGGGACATCACAGACAGTTGCCTTAACGATATTATTATCGGAGATTAAGAAAATCTTTTGATGATAATCTAGAAAAAGGTGGGCCTCCTCCATTTTTATTCGGTAATCAGCTATTTGAAAAGGTTAAGGATTTGGGTATTGAATTTGGAAAACCTTTTGCGAGGCATATTAGTACAAGTAGATGGAAGAAAAGATATATTTTCTTTAATTTGCCATATTGGAAGACCTTGGATGTGAGGCATTTTCCTGATATAATGCATATTAAAAAAAAAGTGTGTGAAAATATTGTTGGTACATTACTACATATTCAAGTGAAGAGTAAAGATGGCATAAAAGAGAGGCTAGACATGGTTTCTATGGGAATACGGGAAGATTTGGCACCGAAGGAGAATAGAAGCTGTACATTTCTTCGTCCAGCAACTCACACACTGTTTAAAAAAGAAAAAAGATCATTATGTAAGTTTCTTAGTGCAATTAAAGTTTCAGAGGGTTACTCGTCCAATATTAAAAATCTTGTGTCAATGAAAGACTTGAAGCTGAAAGGTTTAAAATCTCATGATTATTATGTGTTGATGGAAACTTTTCTTCCAGTGGTTATATGTTCTATTTTACTAAGTAAGGTGTGTAATGTGATAACTAAAATGTGTTTCTTCTTCAAGTCTATTTGTAGCAAAGTGATTGACCCTCGCAAATTGCCAAGGTTGTAAGGCTGATTATAAGGATATTATGTGAACTTGAAATGTATTTCTTGCGTCCATTTTTCGACATAATGATTCATCTTACTATTCACTTAGTTAAGGAAGTAGAAATTTATAGCCCAACTTATTTAAGATAGATGTACCCGATTGAACGTAACATGAAAGTATTAAAAAGATATGTGAAAAACTGAAGTCGACTTGAGGGTTGCATTATTGAGAGGTACATTAGTGAAGAGGCTATAGAATTCTGTCAAGAGAACTTGAGAGATGGAAAATATGTTGGAATCTCTATAGATAGGCATATGGGAAGAGAAGATGGTGAAGGAATGAAGGGGGTCAAATTAGTCATTATTTCAAAAATACATTGGGAGCAAGCATATCTTTATGTGTTGCACAACTCTAAAGAGGTTGATGAGTATGTAGATAAGCACAAGTCCAACATTAGGGAGGACAATCCTAGAAGAACAGAAATTTGATATGAGAAAGAACATAATAAGCATTTCACAGGTTGGCTAAAAAGCATGTTTTTGACAAGTATAATTTCGATCATAACTCTATTTTTAAAAGAGTAAAACGGTTGGCTCGAGGTCCAAACATACAAGTTGTTTCTTATACTAGCTATGTAATCAATGGATACACATTCTACACTAAAGAGCTAGATGATTGGAGCACAATACAAAATAGTAGTGTAACTCTTATAGCTGAAGTGATGCATATTTCTAGTGTTAAGGACAAAAATCCTATATATATCAATGTCATATTTTGGAGTGATTGAACACATTTGGGAGTTGGACTACGTCAAGTTTAAAGTTCCAATCTTTGGTTATAATTGGGTTGATTATAAAAGTGGCCTTCAAATTGATGCATCATCTGGGTTCATATAGGTGAATCTTATAAGGCATGAAAATAAAGATGAGCATTTTATTTTGGCATTGCAGGTTAAACAAGTGTTCTATGTTCTGGATCTTGCAAAACATGATTAGTCCATTATTTTATTATCAAATAAGGCAATAGGAGAGATGATTGATGTTGTTGAGGATGATCCATTTACAGGGACTGTGCTTGAAAGCAATTTCATTGAAGATGGTGCCAATTATATAAGACATGATCACAATGAAAGTATTTGAATTTCAAAGAGAGGCAAAAGAACTAAAGAGAAGATTAAGAAATTAAATTGGGCTATCAAGGTAGAAAAGTTCAAAAGAATTTAAGGAAAAGGAAAAGATTGACCTAATTTTGTGGTGACCAATTTTCTTGCAATTTCTATTTTATTTATGCCTTGTGTGTTTTAATTTTCTTAATTACTATTTGTGTCTTGTGTGTTTTAATTTTCTTAATTATTATTTGTGTTTTATCTTCTAACTATTTCTCACTTGTATAATAGATAAATGGCTCCTAAAATGCCACCCAAGAGACCTGATGATTTGACCAATAACATATTGGATAATCCTCCTAGTGCCACCAGTTCACCCCCTGACCAACTGACTGATCCACCAATTGACCCACTGATAGGTGATCATCCCTCTATATCTGCCAGTTAGCCTATGGCTATAAATGCTCAAGAAATAATGGCTACATCAATTAGAAAAGGCTTGGTATTGATGGGTGAGGTGAATAGAAGACGGTTGGCTGGACAGAAATATTTTCTTTAATGGAATTCAAAGGGTCAACCAATTAGGACCAACAAGCATAAATTCACTAGCTATATCAGAGCTGTGACCAGAGGGCATTTAGGCTTATCAATTAATAGTTGGCATGATGTAGATTCAGCCTCAATAGATTTCATATGGGAACAAGTTGAGGTAATTTATGTATTTATAATACTAATTAATTTATTATATTATTTTATCAATTTTCTAACTTATAACTTGAATGTGTTGATTGAGCAGTCGGCATTTGAAATTGACGCTAATCAGAGGCATTTTGTTATGGAGGTAGCATGTAAGGCACATCAAGCCTTCTGATATTTTGTAGGATCAAAATACATAACTCATACTAATATGCATATTAGTCCTGCAGTCCTTGAGTTGATAAGACCCATTGTCAAACAAGAGCACTGGGATGCTTTTGTTGCCAGGCGTCTTGACAAATCATTCTCAATAAGGATTATGCTATTTTATGTAAATTTTATATAAGTTGATAACTAGACTCATGATATTTTTTTTTGTAGGAATTGAGCTAAAAGAATAAAGAAATAAGGGCAAAAAATCTCTTTCCCTTTCTAAAAGGGCACTTAGGATATTTAGGGATTAAGCAATAAGTGGTATGTTTTGAATTTATTAATTGATATGTAATATGTTATATCACTAATGTGTTTTAATGCATAGATCGATAAAGAGGGCATACCAGAGAGCTCTATATCATAGGCTAGACTCTTTATGTTAGGTCAGACTAATAAAGATGGCAACTATATGGGTGAATATGTTTGAAAACTTGTTGAAAAAGTTGTAAGTACTATCATTCTCAAATTTAGATAGCATATTAATAGTTGCTATTATAATAACTTATGTTTTTCAAATTATGATGAATAGAGTGCCATCTCAGAAGAAGTTTCTAAAGACGAGATTCCTTAAGACGAAGATGTCTTAGAAAAGGTATTGAAAAATCGTGATCACCCCGGTTGTGTTAAGGGTGTTGGCATAAAGGTCTCCAAGAAATAAATATTGGGTGAAAAGAAGACTCCAAAAGGTATGCCTTCTTCAACTGAGAAAATAACAAGTAGAAGCGTAGTAAAAAATGATTGAGGCACTACTTAAGGCCAATAAGATTAGGAAGTCGCCTATGGAGCATATTAGCCCTAGCAAGATAGATAGGTGCATTGTGGCCTAACCATCTGGTCAAATTCTCGAGGTATATGTAATTCTTCACTCCTTAAATTTGGTTCACTATTATTTCATTAACTTATACTTATATTTATTTGGGGCAAGCATGATTGCATTTTTATGGCAAATAGCCCTGGTCGACACAAAGTGGCAAAATGTCGTGTATTTAATTACCCTGGAGAAAATACCATACACAATATGCCGATACTTATAGACTATTTATGAGGGTTGATTCTTAAACCTATTGATGCCAACTACCCACTGCCTATTCCCACCTTAGATGCATTCACTGTTGGAGAAGTAGGTGGAAACTTTGTTGCATGGCCCAGGGTTTGCTTTTATATAATAGACAAAGCACATAATCGAGCATAGGTATGCCAATTACCTATTTATGTATACATTACCTATATTGGTCTTTAACAATATAATTGGTGTGCAGTCCAAAGGGAAGTGCATCACCAGACAATTAGGCTAATTATCCAAGGTTAAGACAGCCGTGTTGGATCAATTGCTAAAAACCTACCAGATTATGCTTGAGGCATATGCAAAATTGTTTGTTGATTCTATGGTGATTATTGATTTTGACCAAAGCATGTATGATAGAGAACAACACGATATGATTAGGGTTGAAATGGTCAACGAAGTCCTTAAGCACGTTTCAATCAGCTAAAACGTAGTCCACTTTTATGTGAGGTACATATTATATGGATGACCTTTTACTATGTTTTAGTTTAAGATAATAATTTGTTTATTTTTTATTTAGGTTCCTATATGAAAATTTTATTGTCCCTGGTGATCTTGCATTTAAAATTTGTCTTTATCTGTCCTCTTGATGTCTCTACTCATCGCAACATCACTATTGAGGTGCGGCATGGCCAAGCTCAAGCATTAGCAAATTACTTCGAGGTAAAGAACCCTACTATAGGGACATTATTTTTGGTACCTTATGTGCAAGGGTGAGTTCAGAGATATCCTAATTAATTTAATTTGTTTTTTCATTTTAAATTTCATGACATATGCTTTCAAATTATTTTAGAAGCCATTGGATATTGATTGGCATTATGTCAGCTGGTGTTAAAACTGTAAAGTTTTACTATTTAGATTCTATTGTTGGGCAGCCAGATAATAAACCTGACATGATGGAATTATTTAATATGTAAGCCTATATTTTAATTAACTTTCAGATTTTTTTATCATTTTAAATTTCTAACTTCAACTTATTTTCTTTCTTTATCAAGGCTGTAGTATTTACCGTACCCAAAAGAACCTTTCTATACCATTAAGGTACAAGTTATATGATCTAACCTACTCTAATTGGAAGATAATAAAGGTGCTAGTTGCTACTAATTTTAACAATTAATACTAATTCTTTAATTAATTCAATAACATGTTTATTGGTTTTTCTATGTAGTGCTCGCAACAAATAGCATATAGCGAGGATTGTGGATATTGTCTGATGAGGTTTCTTAAAGATATCATCACTCATGGAACGATGCTAATTCCTGCTACGGTATGTATGTTATTCAAATTCAATTATATAAGGTTATGAATTTTAATTTCCTTAAGTAATTGATTAACATTGTTGTCATATTACATTATTGCAGTATTATCTAATTCATACTATGAAGAATTTGAGGACCGTCACATCAACGAAGTCATTAAGGAATGGTGTGTGAGTACATTTTTCAACTATGGGCTAAAAATAAGTAAGCTGGACCTTGTTTGTTTTAGTTTTTCTCATTTAGATTTTAATTAATAGTTTGTTTTTTTTAAATAAAATTATTAGTTTTTTATAATTTCTTGTAGTTTGGTATAAGTTTGGATTGGATTGGACTGGACTGGGCATTTTATTTGCATTGTACTGTTGCAGGAGGGTTGCAAGAAATGCAGCCTCCATATTATAAAAAAAATGAATATATTGGACAGTTATTGATAAGAACCGTCCAATATAAGCAATTTATTGGACGGTTATAGTCATAACCATCTACATAACGTCTAATATTCTTCAATACATTAGACAGTTATGACTACAACCATTCAATATTGTGCAGAATATTAAACAATTATAAAGTTAACCGTCCAATATATCCTTCCCAATTCTCATTTCTTTCAACAATATATTGGGCATTTCCTTAAATCATCCAATATATTAATATTGGACGGTTGTGGTAACCATCCAATATTTGTCTTACCAATATATGACGGTGTCACATTGAACGGTTTATAACCGTTCAGTATAGGCAAAAAGAATCATCCAATATTATCCTTTTTGTAGTAGTGTTTGGTTATAAAGTTGCCATCACTTGATGGCCTCCAATAGATCATATCTTCATTCCTATTAGGATTAGGAGGTTTGACGTGAGAAATATGATTGATAACATTGAGGGGTAAGTAGAGAGATAGTAGATTAAGATTCCAACCCCCTGCTATCATTATGAGATTAGAAACTCTTGAATCAATACATCAAATTCTTTGTGTAATGGGAATTCCCTCTATAATGACCTCCTTCATTAACCAACAACCAACCACATTAATTAATTAGATTAAGAAAATAAAGGATCATTCATGCCTATCTAGAGCCTAGAAATAAATTATATTTGTTTTCAAAAAATGGGATTCCAAAAAGTTGAAATCAAAGTATAAAAGATCTACAAAAACATGGAACAAGGCTAAGCATTTAAAACAAATTAAACATGAGCATGTTGAACCCTAGTTTTAATGATTATAAAGTAGACAAGTTGTTATTTATAGGTTTTTGTTATTGGTAAGTTTAAGGAAGTAAGGTCTATATGCTTAATTCTTTAATGGTAAAACATAACTTTAGATCCCTGTAATTTGCTCCCGTTTTGCTATTAGTCTTTGCACTTTTTTTTTTAGTGTTTTATGTTTTTACCCTTTTGTTTTTCATTATTTCAAGTCCCTTCAAAAAGTGTAAGAACCTTGGAGGGACTTAAAAAAATAAAAAAATAAAAGTATAGGGACTTAAAATACTGAAAATTAGTGGAGTAAGATATTATCAAAATCAATATATTAATATATAACACTTTCCAATTTCAAATATAAGTCATTAAAGAGTTTTATAATTTCAAAATAGGAGTTAATTTTTGGAAAATGACGATTAGGGATCCTCTAAGGCCATTAATAGCAATTAGGGACCCTAAATTATTGGAATCCCAAAATAGATCATGATCCTTATTTGAAATTTAAAAAATGTAAATAGTTTAAAATATATTTTTGAAGTGACTTTAATAAATTTTTAAGTGACTATTATATACTTAAAAGTTCCCTTGGAAAGTTTAAAAGTGAATTTTAGTTTCATGATGGGAAATAATCTATTCCCAACTATTATTCTTTAATTTTTCAATTGAGATTAATAATATTTCCATCCCATGATGGTAATTCAGAAGTGTCATTTTTTTATTTTCCAAATGGTCTATTTATAATATATAAACAAGGATAAAAATTTACAAGTGATTAGATTCATATTTAGAATGCCTTTAGTAAATTTTTAACTGACCATAGAAAGTTTCAAAAGTGAATTTTTGTTACATAATGGAAACAATCTATTCTCAACTATTGTTCATTGGTTTCTCAACTAAGATTAACAACATTCACATTTCATGTTAGTAATTTCAGTAATGTTATTTTTCTATTTTTCAAGTAGAAGGCAATTTTATAAACTCATGAATGTTTTTAATTTCGAGTAAAGACCATGGTTCATTATTGAGATTTCACTAATTTAGGTCACTAATTATGATTAATGGCCTTAAAGGATCCCTAATTGTCATTTTCCCTTAATTTTTTAAATTATTTGAATAATTATGGCTTTAAAAGACATTAAGAATATCACTGAGCAATGTTTTAATAATTGGATTAGACTAGATGGTTTGATAAGTTTAACTTTCACCAAATAAAAGGCATGATTTCATGTTTAGAATTGTTTTTCTTTTTAATTGAACCACTTTGAATCAACTATTGAGCTAGGAAATCATAGTTGAATTGGAATCTGGAGAGTTTCTCAAAAGTGGACTTCATTTTTCCTTTCAAAGATACCTCATTATATGAGTTTGGAGTTTATTTTCAATGCTATGGCATTTGTTATTACCATGTGAGTATGTTAATTCACTATGAAATTGAACTATTTATGATTACTTTTTATGTTATTTAATAATTTAATATAATATTTTTATATGTATATTGCACATAATATTATTTTTAAATTTAATTATTATATTATAGGTTCAATCGTTGATTGAATTTGAATTGGTTTAATCATCAAATTTTAATCCAATGACATTTTAATTTCAATATACAAAACATTGCTATGACAGCTATTCATGTAGCCTGGCCACTCAAAATGCCTAGTTTAGCCTAGTAAAATTTCACCCTGGCCCAACTCACAAGGATTTGGGCATGTTCGGGCTAGGCTAGTGTTCAACTAGGGTCAGGCATCAGACAAAGTATGCTGCCTTGTCTATTTGGCCATTCCTGAACAGTGTGTGTATTTCTAATATCTTTATTTTTCTTACATTAAAGGTTAACTATGTGCTTAGTTAGTGAGATGAAGGGGGATTTCTTAAAAAAAATTGAATAATCCTTCACTGCTCTCATTAAAATTATGGTTTTATTAAAAATTACACATATAAATCATCCTTGCTGAAGTTCATATTTATGTTCCTGTCACATGTTCAAATCTTCGTTATGTTTCATTCATTCATTTTATAAGTAGTGTTCTTCTTTCTTTCTCTTTTTCCTTTTGTGCCATATCAATTTATAATTGTTTTTTTATTTTTCTTTTCCATATGCTCCTCGTTTACGTACTTTGAGGAGATTAATCACGTGCCATTTGCACTTAGAGGCTTTAATTAATTACAATCTTTTTGTTGTCGTGTTGGACACTTGGACGTATAAGTCATGTTATGTTGTTTTTAATGGATTACGGATGTTATTTCGTGTTCAACTATTGATATTGTATTAAGAATTATGGTAGTATTATTCATCTTTAATTTCAAGCTAAAGACTTGTACTTTGGTGTTGTGGATTTAAAGAGTATGGATATTGTATTGTAGTAGTTATATTTCTGGTAAAATTGTTGAATATACTTGCTTCTTAAAGTGCCATTTATCATGTTCATTTGATTTAATGAAATTTTCTTCACATACAATGGGCAGGGCACCGCCACTTGGTCCAAAATGCTTAGACAAGAAGCACAATCACATATCGAGGAGGAGTTATTCATGTTCATTGCTAGCTAACAATTTCTAACTAAACAGGAGAGCCAATTCACTAGTCCTTAATTAGCAATATCATAAAAACAGAATGATGAAGATATGATTTAAGGAATCACGATTAGGAGTCAGGACAAAGCTCACAGACAAATTGTCATTTGAAAGATGATCATTGAGCACTTCTCTTGAAGTTGAAGCTCCATCGAGCAATCTCCAACAAAAAAATATATTTGAAAAGTTGTTTAATTCTTCATAGATTCACCCATAAATCATCCAGTAGGGTTCAAGTCCAAAAGATTTTGCAAGTGAATTATGAAACATTCACTACTACCAAAAAAAAAAAAAAACTTTTAAATGATATCTCTTATTGAATGATTATAAGCACAGCCATCTAATATGTGGAGGTGGAGGTAGATATTGGATAGTTAACACAGTAATCATCCGATATGACTAGCATATGTTGGACTATTGAAGTTTGTCTTTATCTGTATCCTCATGATGTGTTTGTTTATTTTATGATGTCTGTTTGTTCTCATGATTTAGCTAATCTTGTGTTGAAATTTGTCTTTGTCTCCTTACTCTGATGTCTTTGCCCATCGTGACATCAATCCCAAGGCGTAGCAAGAGCAAGCTTAGGAGGCATTAGCTTCGTACTTCAAGGAAAAGAACCCTATTGTGGGGACATTATTTTTATACTTGATATGCAAGAGTGAGTTTAATGGTATCTTAATGAATTTAATTTATCTTTTCTTTTTAAATTTCATGACAAATGCTTTTAAATTGTCTTAGGAACAACTGAATGTTGATTGCTATTTTGCCAATTGCTACTAAAATTACAAAGCTTTATTACTTGAATTCTGCTAGTAGGTAACCAAATAAAAAAAAAAGGAGATTTTGAAATTATTTAAAATATACGTTTATATTTTAATTAACTTTTATATATATATATATATATATATTTATCATTTTGAGTTTCTAACTTCAACTTATATAAAACGTAAGCAAGTAATAAATTCATAACAAAAATATATAATAAACATTAATATTTAATGGGAAAAATAATGTCCAATTATACAGAATATAAATAAACATTTTTTGAGTAGTGTCACACTGCCTTGAAACCAAATGGATATAGTTGATAAATAAATGACAATGTATCATATATGAATTTTACTAAAGATTTATACACACGCACACACTAATATGGCTTAGGCTTTAGATTTGGCCTTTGATCTCAAAAATTCTATATCCATATAAATAAAAGTATATTGTTTTAAAAAAGTAGAGTTATATTTGCTAGATATTTTATTATATTATAGTATATTTTGAAGGGATTTTATTCCCTTCGTTCCTGGCTTTCAACACCTTTTTTGTGGTCATTTAGAGCATATATGTGTCGTTGGGAACATTTGGGCATTTCTGCAAAATTTTTGGAATTTT